CAACAGTGATTTGGAAGGGAGGATTAGAAAATTTTGTTATAGCTAGAATAGGACATAAGGACTCAGTGTTATTGGAGGATTTTAGAAATATTAAATGAAATGCCAGTATGTGGTTATGTATTAAGTCTTGGTATGTTTTATGATGAAGGACATTTAAATAATTATAGTCAAATAAAAATGGAGGTATAAGGATAATATATATAAATATTTGAGTTAAAAAACTTGAGTTAATATGAATTATGCTTGATGACTGTGGAAGACATGCACACACCTTTTGTAACCAACTGATACACTTTCTACAGTATGTAAAGAAGGAAGATTTTTATGTGTTGTGTTTGTTTTGAAAATAAAAATAAATTCTATTTAAAAATATTTATTGTTACAATGCACATTTTATTAGGCTATATAGAGCTTAGTTTTATTATTTTAATAATTTCATTAGAAAACATTAGCATATGTCCTTACCTCCAAAGCAGCCGACAGAGAAAAGCAGAAACATCAGTTTCCATGGGAATAACATCTCTGACTATGAGGTTAGTTGTTGTCCAGCCTCAAATGTATACGTATTTGTCCACACAAAATCCTTAATCTGTTAAAACATGAGTAAAAAAAATATTTTATTTGCCAGTCACAGTAAAGAATGAAAAAAATGTATATTAAATATACTATCAAATATTATAGATCAATGAAGAATATCTCCTATTAAGATTCTAAAATTTAGACTACAAAAACCTTCATCTCATGGAGTTATTAGATTGTTGGAAGATTATTCCCAATTTCATCCTGTCCCACCAGATCCAATAGAGTGGGTACATGATGGGTTGAATCATTTTGGGGGCTACATCTGGTAAGCCCTAGGGCCTAAGGCCTTTTCTGTCTTGGCATTCACATGATGAAATCCTACCTTCCTACCTACCTACTTACCTAATTTGAAATGGAAACAACATGTATGCAAACTATGCTTGTGATTTAAGACTGAATGCTGGACCTTCAGAAAAATTATGGAAAACCGAAGACAGCTCTGGAAAAGCAAAGCCAACAACTATTCCAAAGGCCATTTTACACAGGATTATCTGTTAGTACCTGAAATCTAAAAGGCAGACAAATAGAAAATCTTGGATTTACAGAACAAATGGACTGGTGCAGAAAAGCACAGGACCCAGGTTAACACAGTTTTCTATACTCTATTTAATTTTCAACATGTACTATGAACAACATGAACATGAGGACCTTACTAAGTGGGCAATATAAATATCAAAATAAACTATATAAGATAAAGAAAAAATACAATCCGTAAAGCAGCTTATTTTTGTTTATGCAGACCAGGGAACAATATCAAACATATAAGGGAAATTCAGAAAATTAAAAAGAGCAGCCATGCCAACAAGATAGAACTTGAAGAACATAGTTAAAATTCTTCTGACATTTTACTCATGGCTTGTCTACTATAATAAATGCTAATTATCTTCTCTAACTTTGTAGGAGAATTATCTAAAACAAAAGACCATTAAAAACAACTGACACAGTCTGAAGAACCATAAAAATATCAGTAAGGAATTAATCAGTACGATTCAGTCATTAAATGAATAGAAGGTACAATTAAGCTACAACTAAAGGAAATAGTGGGCCCTACTTAATTAGAATGATCTGAAACGGCACTTTCCTGTACTTTGAACTGGGATGAAGAAAAAAGCAAAATGGGTTAATCAAGTTGTAATTGATTAATTTCATAAGGAAATGGAACTAAAACAAAAGCATATTCACTGAAAACAAAGAGGGTCATTTGGAGGTTTATAAACATGAGACCTAAGAATACTACTTTGATGCAGTAATGCTTCACTAAAAAAAAGAATTCAAGAACAAACAAACCAATCACTTGGATTTGGGCAACACTGAGCAAATAATGATGCCTAAATAAAAGTATGAATCAGGTCTGGATCCTAATGAAGAATAAAATGAACCATGGCCAAGGGATGAGAAAGGACGTTGGTCTTACCTGAACATCTATTTTCTGATGGGAGGAGGGAATGGTCACACGTGGGTTTTATCACAACCTGATT